TATATATATATATATATACACACACACACACACATACACATAAAGGAGCTCTGGTGGCTTAGTGCCTAAGGCATCTGACTGCTAACCAGAAGGTTGGTGGTTCAAATCCACCAACCACTCTGTGGAATTCCTTCCAATCTACTTCCATAAAGATTTATAGCCTCATGAGTAGCAACTGGGATTTTAAAAGCTTGCAAGTGGCCATCTAGATGCAACGATCGGTCTCTCCTTGTCCAGAGCAAAGAAGAATGAAGAAAACCAAAGATTCATGGAAACAATTAGTCCAAGCAACTGATAAACCATATGATCCTCAGCCTATACAACTAGGAGACCAGAAGAACTACATGGTGCCCAGCTACCACTGTCAACCATTTGGAGAGGGATCTCTCTAGGAGATCCTGCATAGAGAGGGAGAACAATATGGAACAAAATTCAAAATTATTTAAAAAAAAAAGGGGGGGGGAGCAGGTTTGCTGGTCTGATAGAGCCTGATGGAACCACTGAGACTATGGCCTCTAGCTGCCCTTCAGGTCTGTAATTGAACCCACTCCTGTGGCTTCCAGTCAAACAAAAGTCAGGCACATGAGCTGAACATTTACACCAGGTAGATAGACTCCTTGGAGAGAACAACCATGGGAGAATAGAAGGGCTGCACATGCACAAGGACACAGTGCAGGGGGCAGGAATGCATGGAGGGAGGGACATAGGGAAGAAGTAACTATGGGGAGGACGTGGGAGGGGGGCTGTTGCATTGGGGTAAATTGTAATCAATGTCATGAGACAAAGTGTACGTGAATTGCTGTAAGGAAAGTGAATCTGTTCTATAAACTTTCACCCGAATTATAATAAAAATTTTAAAATAAAAAGATTTACAGCCTCAGAAACCCAACGAGGCTCTCTATGAGTTGGAATTGACTCGATGACAGTAGTTTTTTTTCTCAAATATATGTGTGTGTATGTGTATGTATATACACACACACATATACACATACACATATGTATCCATACATATGTGTATATGTATACACAT